AGTCTGAATAAGAAAAACCTTAAACTTAAAATTAAAATCTACTTATTTAGAACGGCTTTTAACACTTAGTGGCCCTGTGACACTTTCTTTATTTTAATGGTGTAATGTGTTTTGTTGACCTATTTGTATGATGTTTATTGTTTTTTATTTTTGTTTTAATGTTGTACAGCACTTTGGTCGGCTTTGGTTGTTGGAAGGTGCTACGGAAATAAAGTTTGATTGTTTGATTGATTGAAAAACACAAAGAAACCGTTGCACCGCTTTAAATGAAAAAGGATCTGTCAGCCTGTGCAATATGGAAACTTACAGCGTTTGGTGCTGATTTGTTACATGCGTTGAAATAATGAGCTTTTGATTCGATACAGTTCAATAAAATCAAGGCTGAGTCTTGTTTTAATTTTATTAATCCAGTTCTTGTGCAAAGTTCATATGTTAATGAGTCATTTTTACTCATTAAACTATATGTGAAATGTGTTATTGATACCAGTCTCTTGCTATTTTTTATTGCTTATTTATTACTTATTTAGAAGTTTAAAAAATTAAACTTTATATATATTTTTACTCTGTGTTATTGTAATATAATGTGAGCTTCTATGTTCAAGTAGTTTGGATCAATAAAGTCTCTCTATGTCTAAGTTTAAGTCTAAGTGTTGCATAAATGAGTTTCCTTCCTCTGAACAAACAACAAAACTGTAGCTGGAACAAAATTATTTAGTGAAATATCTAAAAAAAATACTCTTGGTGATATATCAGTACAGCAGCTCAAGATATCGATACTGACTCATCACATTAAACGATACGATATGTCGATATTTAGATATTTCTGCACACACCCTGTATATTACTGTTTGGTACTAAAACACAATCGGGTACATTTTGAAAGCTCAAGCCAAAAAGAGAGAATGAAAAGTGTGTGGTATTTTTGGAGAGAATCACTCCTAAATAAATAAATCTGCAGGGTTTGTGTGTTAAATGTGTAAATGAAACAAAACTAGAGTAACCAGACGTCCCCATTTACCCAGGACAGTCACAGTTTTGAGCCTGTGTCCTCTGTCCACAGCAGATTTATATAAAACCACTGATTCGTCCCGGTTTTATACAAGAAATGTCCCAGGTGTCTCTATTTTTGACCAATCTGATCTCTGCCAACAGCAAAAAGACACATGAACTGGCATTTGTTTTGGTAAAATAGAGAAAAGCTGCTTAAAAACGACCAAAACACAAAGAAAATGTGACTATACTGACTCGTGTTAGTCAAGAATTTTCCTTAATTACGAACTCGTTTCACAATTTTACTTAGTGTCCCAGTTTTTTATTTTGAAAATCTGGTCAACCTAAACTAAACTAAACAAAAGTCCAGGTCTATTTGTGAGGAGGAAACGAGATTAAAACAGAGATCAGAAAACACAGTAATAGGAACATTTAATAAAAACATGATATAATAAAAGCCTGATCTGATTTCTCCAGATGAAGCCGCTTTAATGAGGAAAACTGAAGTAAAGCCCCGAGTCATGTGACGTCTGCAGATCCCAGCTGTGGGGTTCGGACTCTGCACCCTCCTGCACCCTCCAGCACCCTCCAGCACCCTCAGACGTCACCCAAACGTGCAGAATACTCACGTGCCCACTTGTTTGAGCGCGTGAATCAGAATCTTGTCCACCTCCTCCATTTCTGCTGCTGTGAGGAGGTCTGAAGTCCAGGAGGAGGTCAGATGATCAGGAGGAGGAAGAGGCGCTGTGGGCACGTCTCTGCTGCTTTTCTTCTGCTCTTTTTTGGTGTTTTTTAGATGCACGGGTTTGATCCACTACCGCCATCTGCAGCCGCACTCCACCAGGAGCCGAGGTGTAAATAAAACTAGAGGAACCGCGGTTACGTCTGCGAAATCGGCGGCCATCTTGGGACAGTGGACAGAGCAAAATTGTAGTGGAAAAAGTGGAAAAGTTCGCTTTATTGTCAATTTCTTCACATATACTAGACATACAAAGGAATCGAAATTACGTTATTAATAATAATAATAATAATAATAATAATAATAATAATAATAATAATAATAATAATAATAATAATAATAATAATAATGTAAAGAGAACAAAAATACTTATATCGTTTATATAAAAAAAAAAGTTGGTTTGGATTTTCTATGTTAAAAAACTGATTTTATAGCAGTAATTTTCCCATAGTAAAACCATAGAACCGCTGTAGTGCGCCCTCAAGTGGCCACAAACCTTTACTACACTCAACAGTTAGTCCACTGACAAAATCGATTTAATCTAATAATTTATGAATAATAAACAATAACAATAGTTTTCTGTCAATTTTTTGTTTAGTTTTGCTAGTTTAAATATCTTTTATCAGCAATATAAACGTTTATTTTGTGTCTTGATTGGGTTTTATCTTTAAATGTACCGGCTGCTAACAGCAGCGAGATACTATCTCGTATCTCGTAATTACGAGATAATCCCCCCTCCCCCCTGCAGATTTTTTTTTTTTCACTGACTACAATGCTCTTTCGTACAATGCTCTTTCGTAATCTTGGGACAGTAGATAGAGCAAAACTGTTGTGGAAAATAATGTAAAAAGAACGAAAATAACTTTGACACTCACACACTAACAGACACTGTGTATATCGTTTATACAAAAGACTTGGTTTGGATGTTTTATGTTAAGAAATCAGATTTTTATGATAACAAGTTTCCCCATAGTAAAAACATACAGCCGCTGTAGTGCGCCCTCATGTGGCCTTTTGCATTTATTACACTCAATAGATAATTCGCCTCAAAACAGATTTAATCACATAAATTAATGTCTGCTGAGAACTGAAACAATAATTTTCTGTCATGAATGTTTAATTTTGTTAGTTTAAATATATTTATTACGAATAGAACCGTTTATTTTGTGTCTTAACTGGGATTTAACGGTTACGTTTACGTTTACTGACTGCTAATTTAACTAAAATAACACATTCTAAGCAGTCAATTTGTGTAATTAAGAAAAAAAATAATTAAGCTTGTGAAAGGATGGTCCTTTTTTTTCCTGCTTCGTTGTTTATAAAAATAAAATGACCAAATAAAGAACGTAAACAGTTTATGTGAAGCTGCGGCCATCTTGGGACAGTAGACAGAGCAAAACTGTTGTGGAAAATAATGTAAAAAGAACGAAAATTGCTTGAAAAATTAACTATCAACATGCACTGTGTATATCGTTTATACAAGAGTTATTTTGGATTTTTAATGTAAATAAATAAAGAGTTTTATAGCAATAAGTTTCCCCATAGTAAAAACATAGAACCACTGTAGTGCGCCCTCAAGTGGCCACAAATGTTTACTACAGTTAACAGTTAATTCGCCTCAAAAAGGATTTAATGGAAGAATTTATGACTGATGAGAAGTAAAATCAACGGTGACAATACTTTTCTGTCATTTATGTTTAATTTTGTTAGTTTAAATATATTTATAACGACCAGAACGGTTTATTTTGTGTTTTAACTGGGCTTTAAGTGTTATATTTACGTTTACCGGCTGCTAGTTTAGCTAAAATCACACATTTTAAGCAGTAAATTAGTGTAACTGAAGTTTAAGCTTGTGAAAAGATGATCCCTTTTTTTCCTACTTCTTTGTTTATAGAAATAAAATGACCAAATATAGAAATTAAAGTTTGTCCGAAGCGGCGGCCATCTTGGAACGACCGCCTTTGCTGTTTGTTTAAGCGGGTTCTATAATTTCATGATTTTGATAGTTACTGTAACTATGGCGATTTGTACTCTAGTTTTATTTTATTTATTTTTTAAGTTTATATTTTATACTGTTTTAACTTCACTAATTTATTTAAAATCAGTGGCGTTAAAAATAAAACTGCTTTGTGATATTGTCCTTTTTTTTTTTTTTTTTTTTTTTTTTTTTTAAATCGTACTTATTTATAATTTATGCCGTTTCTTTTTCTCACCTGCTCCTTGACGATCCCGTCCCTGACCAGTAGGGGCAGCTGAACACCGGAAATCACGAAAACCGGGGGATGCGCTCCGCTGTCTCCTCCACCTCCTCCAGACACCTCCGGGACCCGTCTGTCTCCCTCTGCCCCGCGCTGTCCCCCCCTGTCCGCGGGTGTCCAGGCTCAGGCGCTCCACGCTCCGCTGTCCCCGGCCCCGTCCCCGGCTCCGTCCCCGGTTCCGTCCCCGGCTCCGTCCGTCCTGCCCGCGGGGCTCTGGTGTCCGGTTAGGCCCATGGCTGCTGTTTGTTTGTCGGTGGGATCGATCAGAATGCTGCTGCTTTAGGAGGAGGAGCGCTGAAAATGGCCGGGGAGGATGAGCGAGGGGTCGTGCGAGTCAAAGTGAAGGTAAATGGACCGTGCGTAATGTGCGTAATGTGAGAATATGAAGAGTGTTTGGGCTCCGGACGCGGACGCACGGGCTTTGTTTACCCCGGTGCCGCTGCTGCTGACGCTGGAGCCTGGACTGCTGGACTCTCGGATTGTTTTTCACAGCTGTTTGTGGTTAGATTCTCTGTCCCGGTTCTCAAAGCTCCAAAATTACGCAAAACTGACTCTTGTGCGCTTCAAGTAATGACCTAATGTTGTTACCTCCTCAAAAACACACTTGGAGTTGTGTTTTGTTTCATCTGTTTCCCCGGGACAGTCCCAATTTTGATCAATGCGTCCCCTGTCCCAGTAGATTTATCCAAAAACATCTCATTTGTCCCAGTTTGATACAAGAAATATCCCAGGTGTCTCTATTTTGGACCAATCTGATCCCTGAAAACAGTAAACAGAAACAGAAACTCACATTTTTGGGGGGTAAAATAGAGAAAAGCTGCTTAAAAACAACCAAAACACAAAGAAAATGTGACTTTACTATGTGACTCACTTGTTTGTCACGAATGGGGCGAGTGCAGAACAATTTCCCTTAATTACACCTTCGTTTTACAGTTTTATTTTTACCAACCAACACAAACCAGGGATGTCGTAGTTATGTTATTTTGAAAATCTGGTCACCCTAGTTTTGTTTGATTCACACATGTTTGAGTAACTCTTTATTATTAGTCTCGGTACGATATTTATTGTGATATTTTGTGGAGGCAACAAAACTGTAAATATTCGACTTTTTCCTCTTAAAATTCCTTGACAAAACTTAATCCAAAGAACTAAGAGTTAAAAGTGTTAGAACTGTTATTTCTTCTTGTCGTCTGCACTGAAATGGAGCAAAGGATCATGGTCTATGTAGTTCTCTGTGGGGTTTTTTTAGCTGTTGTTGCACCAAAACTCTTCATTTAAACAAAGAGACTTGTGATTCGATATATTGTGATGGTCCACGATATTATTGTGAGAACTTTGACAATACGATATCACCAGATTTAGGTTATTGTCACATCCCTACTGTCTTTATCCACAAAACTCAAAATGCTCTGTTCCACCTTGTGATGTCACGTCGTGTTCGTTTTCAGGGGAACAGCTCCTTTTTCCTTTCGCTCCGTAGAAATTCCGAGGCTGAAATGATCTCAAGTGATTCTAGTGAAGGTTTGTTTTTCATTTTGAGAGATGAACTCGTGCTAAATGTTCAGGTTTGTGCGTTAAACGTGCGTGAATGAAACAAAAAAAACACAACTCCAGGTCTGTGTGTGACGAGGAAACGACGTTAGAACACAGACGAGTGAAGAGTGAAATATGAACCTTTTAATAGAGGAGACTGTGAGAGCCCCCCAGAGTCTAAAAACAACCTGGACTAGACTCTGGATTAAAAAAGAACCACTTTAAAATAAAATATAGGCAATAAAAGTCAAATATAATCCACAATTTGTAAAAAATGAAATTATTTTTATTATAAATCACCATAGTTTTGGTCCCAGAGTCGATTGTTGGAGAAACTCTGGTTGTAGTTTTGGATAAATGATGCTTTATTGTTCTTTATTTGTTATATCATTTATAATAAGATCTTTTTCTTGACCTTTATTTGTTGTATCATCGGTATAAGATCTTTTTTTTTTTTCCACGTAAACGAGCCGTAGATGATTCAGCCTCACGTCCGTCCAGTCAGATCTGCTCTCCGGGCGGGGGATGACGTCATTACTTGTTAAATCTTTATTCTTAGTGACTGAACCCATGTTTTTCCTCTGAGGTCGTAGGTCATAGGTCATGTTTGGACAGAAAGGTCATCCGCTGTAAAAAAAAACAAAAAAGAAACGTCTCCAGTCTTTGTTCCACTGTTTTGCCGTGACGTCTGTGAGTCTTTGGAAAACTTCTGCTTTGTTTTTGTCACGTTAGTATTTTTACACCGTCTGTAAAACCACAGACTGTGAGTCAAATGAAGCTCACTGAGGTCAGCAGTTCTAGGAGCGAATTGAGTTCCATATTAAGAATTTATTTACGGACAAAACGGCAAAATAAAAACCCCAGGATCATGTCGAACGAGTTAATACGAACATTTTTGGCTTCATGTTCATTGGCAAACACGGTTTTCTGTATTTTGGCAAAACAACTGACCAGTTTTGCTTCTCTTTACTGATGGCAGGGATCAGAATAGATAAAAATGTGATGTGATAGTCCTGGTTTAGTCCTGGTTTAGTCCTGGTTCAGTCCTGGTTTAGTCCTGGTTCAGTCCTGGTTCAGTCCTGGTTCAGTCCTGGTTCAGTCCTGGTTCAGTCCTGGTTTAGTCCTGGTTTAGATCAAGTGCACTGACAGGAGCTCAGGGACCAGACTCCTGCTCTAGTCCTGGTTTAGACCTGGTTTAGTCCTAATTTGGACCTGGTTTAGTCCTGGTTTAGACCTGGTTTAGTCCTAATTTAGACCTGGTTTAGACTTGGTTTAGACCTGGGTTAGACCTGGTTTAGACCTGGTTTAGACCTGGCTTAGACCTGCTTTAGTCCTGGTTTAGACCTGGTTTAGTCCTGATTTAGACCTGGTTTAGACCTGATTTAGACCTGATTTAGACCTGATTTAGACCTGGTTTAGACCTGATTTAGACCTGATTTAGACCTGGTTTAGACCTGATTTAGACCTGGTTTAGACCTGATTTAGACCTGGTTAGACCTGGTTTAGACCTGATTTAGACCTGATTTAGACCTGGTTTAGACCTGATTTAGACCTGATTTAGACCTGATTTTAGACCTGGTTTAGACCTGGTTTAGACCTGGTTTAGTCCTGTTTTAGACCTGGTTTAGTCCTGGTTTAGACCTGGTTTAGACCTGATTTAGACCTGGTTTAGTCCTGGTTTAGTCCTGATTTAGACCTGGTTTAGACCTGGTTTAGTCCTGGTTTAGTCCTGGTTTAGTCCTGGTTTAGACCTGATTTAGACCTGGTTTAGTCCTGATTTAGACCTGGTTTAGTCCTGGTTTAGACCTGGTTTAGTCCTGGTTTAGTCCTGTGTATTTGTCAAAAATATTGACATCTGGGACACTTCTTGTATAAAAATCAGTGGTTTTGTATAAATCTGTGGGACAGAGAGACACAAGCTCAAAACTGGGACTGTTTGTCCCGAGGAAACAGGGACGTGTGGACACTCACTAACTCTAATTATACAGCTCTTTGAAAACGGTTTGGTTTATGAAATGTGCTATTGAACTGGATTAAATTATATTCTCGTGGACCACAGAGGAACCTACTGGAGCAGTGGGATCACACAGACATAAGGAAAAGAAAGTTCTACCATTTTTAATGTGTAAAATCACAGGAGACTGTCGAAACAAAGAGGGTTTTTATTTTCATATTGAGTATTGAGTCTGCTCTTTGGTACTGAAATGGAGTTTGAGGATGTGTTATGGTGACTTCGGTGTGGTGTGTTTGCAGAAGTGTGACGGAGCGTTCCCGTTGGAGCTGCGTTCTTTCGCCGTGGATCCTCAGATCACCTCTCTGGAGGTTCTGCAGCACATCCTCATCAGAGCCTTCGACCTGAACGGGTAAAAAAAAAAGGCGGGAGGAGGCGGGAGGAGACGGGAGGAGGAGGAGGAGGAGGGAGGAGGCGGGAGGAGGCGGGAGGAGGAGGAGGAGGCGGGAGGAGGAGGCGGGAGGAGGCGGGAGGAGGCGGGAGGAGGCGGGAGGAGGAGGCGGGAGGAGGCGGGAGGAGGCGGGAGGAGGCGGGAGGAGGCGATTCTACTGAGGAACAGTGAAGGAGGAGGAGGTGGTGTCACACAGGAGCAACATCAGTCGCTGTGTTTCTGTTTCCTTGGAAAATCCTCAGGTTCAGTCTGTTTCTGTTTCTACTTTGTCTTCAGTTTTTGTGAACACAGAAAACCTCAATTCACACAAATCTGTAGAAGCGAAAGGAAAAAGCATAAAAACCCTGAGGGCAGGATATTTTGACCAGATGCTCGTACAGAACGATGATAATTTATTCACTGACTCAGTCGTTCTCTCGTGTGTCAGATCTGTACGTCACACACCGACCTGCAGATCGGGACAAGACGACCAAAAAAAACCATCTCCTGTGACTCACCTGAGGCTCACAGCAGCAGGTTAATATGAACCTGTGATGGACGATAAACTGAAATTTGACCTGAACACTGAAAGTATCGTCAAACAAATAAACTGAACTCTTTTAATGTGAACAAAATGATTCTCAACAGTTTTTATTGTTCTTTTTATCCAAAGTCTTCTTACTTTTTCTTTTATTTGCTGGTTTCAATCCTTGTCCTTGAAGGATAAAAACAAACTGCAGAACATTGTTAAAACCTGCTCAAAAATCACAGAGTCAAACTGAAGGAGCCGAGTCTCTGTGGGAGGAGCAAAGTGAAGTGTCTCGTGTCTCAGCTGCTCCATCCACTGGCTCCTGATTTGATCCTGAGGCCTTCAGGGCGTCGGTTTTTGCTCCGATACGAAAGATAAACCACTTCTCAAATTCTTTTGTGCCTCTGCTGTTAAACTGCTAAATTCTAAGGGAACAGTTTTCTGATTTATGTTGTGCACTGGGTCCAGTCAAGTGTTAACAGAGGGAAACAGGGTCAGATTTTTGACATTCAAATGTCTCTTATTCAGAAACTAGAGGAACTATTGAAATAAGTAAAGTATCAGAATGTAGGAAAGAGTTACACTCCAACAGGGTCAAGTTAAACCTGTGAGATTCTTTCAAGTTCAAGACAAAAAATTTAAAAACTCATGTCGGTAACGGAGGGAATGAAATATGCAGCACTTTTTGGTCAATAAATCCAAACAGTGATAACTCTTGGTTCTCACTTCCATATCCTTAACAAACTGGTTTGAATATTTGCTTCATATAGTTTTCTACCATATGGTACAAGATTAGGTTGAAAAACCTCAGACTTTTTGACTCGTGAGATTTTTTATTAAGAAAGTTCATGGTAACGGAGGGAAAAGTAACGGAGGGAAAATTGTACAAACAAGTAGAAGGTGCAGGATTTTACATCATTTGTGCCTTTTTTCTTCTGAAAACTTTAATATTACTTCAAAATGAAAGAAACTATTTCTATAAAATATGTCAGTCCTTCCAAGAACATTTTTATCATTTTAAATACATTTTTTTTTTTTTTTTTTATCCTGTCCCTTCATCAACAGTTCAAAGATGGAATAACACAAGATATGATGAAATACAAACATTTATTTACATGATGTTTGGGTCTTTGAAATTTGGGAAATAATTTTAGTTCCATGTTTCATTCATGGTCTGTTTAAAACATATGGAACTTTAGAACCAAAAATGGTCCAGAAAAAAGGTCAACAGTTTCATAAACTAGAGAACATATGTATCTGTTCAATACACTTTTATATCAGATGAATTAACTTGAGTTTTTGGTCTTGATGTTTACTTCTGTTTGACTGGGCCCTACTATAATTTGTAGACTGTCAGTGAGTTCCACTGGTGAACTGTAACGGACTGACGTGTGTGTTTGTGTTTGTGTGTGTGAGAAGTGAGAACTGCTCTGAGATGCTGCTAATGAATAAAGTTTTCTGAATCTGAATCATTTTAAGACCAAAAGAAAGGACGAGTCTCACAGCAGCAGGTACAGAGAGATGGTGAAGTTTTTTTTTTCAGTACAAGTGAAATGCCCCCAGAGCTCGATGGAACCACTTTGCACTCGCTCACGTCTTATTTAGAACACAGCAGCGAGACGTTTGTATGAACAGTCTGTGGTTTAAACCTGTGTGTCTGTGTGTGTCTGTTTGTGTTTCAGGAAGCATAACTTTGGCATCAGTTACTTGTCTCGTGACCACGGCGCCGCTGAGGTTTACCTGTCGCTCTCCTCAGACTGGGACCTGGACGTGGCGTTCGTCAGCGCCGCCAAACCGTATCTGCAGCTCAAGATGGACGTCAAACCCGCAGAGGACAGTAAGGGACCCGGTTATGAACCATATACACCATGTCCACGTACACCACTGATACTGCTCTAAAACTACACACGTCCTGAGGGAGATGAGAGACAGAACCAGACAGAGGACAGTAAAGGACCGGCTCATTTATAAACCACACACACTACACTCACTTTATGTCGAGGAGAAAATTCAGTTTGACGATTGGACAAAAGTTAGTTTGGTTAGTTTGGTGGTGGACACTTCCTTATATCTGCTGCAGGAGGAGCTTCCACACCTCTGGACCTGACCTGTGGAAGCTCCTTTATGGTACGGTGACCAAACATCCCATTTTCCCCGGACATGTACGTATTTTGCGACCTGTCCGGGGCGTCCGGGTTTTTTTTTTTTTTATAAAGTGATGCAAATGTCTGGGTTTTCAGTACCGTTTATTAAACTGAGCGTCTCTCGTAGCGTCTGTGACTCAGAAGGAGCGAGACACAAACAGTCGGTCAGTCTGCAACACACCGAAGCACAAAAGCGCATTTAACAATGACTTGTACAAGAAATTCTCCATTTTCCATCCTGGTCGGGACAAGTGTGAGTCCATGTGCACAGGTTGAGGTGAGAGGACAGTGTCCCTCGTTTATCGTGGGGGTTCTGTTCTAAAAATAACCCGCGACAGGTGAAATCCACGAAGTATCAACTTTATATTTTACAATTATTCTGTTATCTGTTCTATATCTGTTTTAAGTCTGTAAAACCTCAGCACAAACTTTATACACTTTTCTCAGACAGGATCGACAGGTGCAACCCTTTTTACTTCCTTCTTAAAACTTATTTCTGTTGTCGTCCTTTTGTTATTTTCCTCTTTCTTTATGTAACGAACTGAAGATTAATTTATTCCGTAATAGAGCCCAACAGCGCAGAGACCTGCACGGGTCCCAGTACAATACTGCACCCGCCAGGACAGGACCGCACCTGCCCATTAACCTGAGATTATATCAAACTTTTGCACTGCCTACGACATGGACTGAACCAAGACTAAACCAGGACTGATTCCAGGACTAAAGAGGAGAACTAATCCACGACTGAACTAGGACTAAAACAGGACTAAACCAGGACTAAACCAGAACTGAAACAGGACTCACCGTCAGGACGGGCTCGGAGGTGACGCAGGAGAAAGGACCGGCTCAGCTCCGCACCTCACGGAGTTAAACGCGGCAATTGCCCGATCGCACTTTGCAGACAAACTGCTCTGCGTTTTCTCTCTTAAATCCAAGATTAGTCCTGATTTAGACCTGGTTTAGTCCTGACTTACCCGTGTGTAATTACTACCCGCGAAAAATTCCGTGAAACGGTGAGACCGAACTAACAAACACAAACTGTAAACAAGTGTGTGTTAGTTCCAGAGTAGTTTCAGTGTAGTTAGCTCCTCCTGAAGACAGATATAAGGAAGTGTCCACCGGCGTCTGACCAGAACTGAAGAAGCAGCTTGGATGAGCTGAGAAACGTCTTCAACCAAATAAACTTTTTGTCCAGTCGACAAACTGAATTTTCTCCTCGACGTGGACTCCACCTGGATGTTGAGGGACTCTTCATACACTCACTTTAGTCCACACAACACAGACTTTCTCTCTTCCCTAAAACACGTGGGATTCAGAACACACACTTCTTCAAGACTTTATGAAGTTGTGAGTCTGGTCACCGGTGAATCTGGATTATCACAGACAGGGAAGGAAGGAAGGAAGGAAGGAAGGAAAAAGGAGGGGGAAAAAAGAGCTGAAAACATGGTGGATATCTGCAGAATCAATGAAGCAGTAAACAGTTTAACATCTGAGAGGAGAAAGAAAAGTCATTTTGTCTGTAAATAATAAATGACCATTGACTGACACGGAATAAAAACAAATCTGACTGGACGTTGCCGTTTGATTTCCTCTGTGTATAAAATAAACAGAGCTCTCTCAGTCTGGATGTGTTATTCCCTGAGCATCCAGTTTCTTTTACTTTCTGAAGAGTCTGAAACTGGACCAGAAAGCACGAAAAAACCTCCGTCCAAACTGGAGATGATCCAAACACAGACGCTCATCTGTGTCACACGCAGAAGACGCCTCGTCTCTTAAACTCTCGTAACACTCAGAACAAAATCTATAACTTGTTTGAGCTGAGATAAGTCACAGTTTGGTGTTTCGACTGTCGATTGTTGATTCTGACAAAGTCCACTCTGTTTCTCAGTCGTTTAGCTGTGTTTTTTTTCCTGCCGTGTTTGTTTTCTTTATTCAGCTGATGGTTTAGATTGATTAGAGTAATTATATCACACCTTATCTTTAGGCTCTATTTACTTTGAGAAACACACGGATGAGGACGTCCGGTGTTGTTCCCGACACTGGACATGTGATAAAACCCTGGATTCAGCAGCCGTGTTTTCACAACCTGCTAAAACTTTCCACAGGGGACGTGACTCTAATGGGGTCGATGTCACTTACAGGAAGCTGGTCGGAACTGTCGATCTGACGAACATAACGGAACAAAGATAAATTAGTTTGACAAATTATAACACACAAATGAACAGGCAATTTATAAAAGGGAAAAAAGAAAGAATAACATCAAGATCAGGGGTGTCAAACTCAATTTATATATATAAAATAAACCCCAAAAATAACAATAAATTAAAATATTTGTGCAGAGAAACACAAATCTATTACAGAAATCTTTTTTAATTGATGAACTCTTTCTTTTACAAAATATTATAATATTAGGAACAACCTGAAACTTAAAAAAAAAAAGCAATTTCAACACAGAGTTTTAACTTTAACTTGTTTGCATTTCATAGACTTTAGTCATGTTTTATTTTTGCTCTTGAAACTTGACACTTTTATCCTGCACAAGTTCCTCAACATCAGGCACCAGGTCCTGAGGAGCTGCTGTCTTCACAGTGTCATTCAAGTGTTTGTGTGTTAGTTTTGTTTTAGGGCCCAGTCAAACAGAAGTAAACAATAAGGCAAAAAATTCAAGTTAATTCATCTGATATAAAACAGTATTGAACAGATACATATGTACTCTAGTTTATCAAACTGTTGACCTTTTTTCTGGACCATTTTTGGTTCTAAAGTTCCATCCGTTTTAAACAGACCATGAATGAAACATGGAACAAAAATTATTTCCCAAATTTCAAAGACCCAAAAATCATGTAAATAAATGTTTGTATTTCATCATATCTTGTGTTATTCCATCTTTGAACTGTTGATGAAGGAACATGATTTAAAAAAAAAAAAAGTATTTAAAATGATAAAAATGTTCTTGGAAGGACTGACATATTTTATAGAAATAGTTTCTTTCATTTTGAAGTAATATTAAAGTTTTTGGAAGAAAAAAGCGACAAATGATGTAAAATCCTGCACCTTCTACTTGTTTGTACAATTTTCCCTCTGTTACTTTTCCCTCCGTTACCATGACCTTTCTTAATAAAAAATCTCATGAGTCAAAAAGTCTGAGGTTTTTCAACCTAATCTTGTACCATATGGTAGAAAACTATATGAAGCAAATATTCAAACCAGTTTGTTAAGGATATGTAAGTGAGAACCAAGAGTTATCACTGTTTGGATTTATTGACCAAAAAGTGCTGCATATTTCATTCCCTCCGTTACCGACATGAGTTTTTATTTTTTGTCAACAACTTGAAAGAATCTCACAGGTTTAACTTGACCCTGTTGGAGTGTAACTCTTTCCTACATTCTGATACTTTACTTATTTCAATAGTTCCTCTAGTTTCTGAATAAGAGACATTTGAATGTCAAAAATCTGCCCCTGTTTCCCTCCATTACCACTTGACCAGACCCTTTATTAATGTTCGTTACTGAGAAAACCTGCTCACAAATGTAGATCTATTATTTCTAGTTTTATGTCTGCGGCACATCAGAGGTTTTGCCTGTGATTAGAGTGCGAAAAATTGCAAATTCTGTCTTCAGGTTTTAAAATATTATTTAAATATTTTAGTAGAAAATCAGCCGAGGGCCAGATTAAAGGTCTTGGAGGGCCGGATCCTGCCCCTGGGCCGTATGTTTGACACCCCTGATCTTGATGAAAAAAACGGGACATTTTCTCAGCTTCTCCATATTTTGTCAGAGTTCCCATCGCCGACAGAGCCCAGAGGAAGTCGTCATCCGTATGTTTCTGAACGTTTTCTGGTTTTGTGACATGACCGTGAAAGTTGTCGGTCTAACGCGGCGCCCCCTGCTGTTTGTTTGTGTTTGTTCATGTTTGTGTTTATTTGTTTGTTTGTTTGTTTGTTTGTTTGTTTGTTTGTGCAGGTCCGGTGATGGAGGACTGGGACATCATCAGCCCCAAAGACGTGATGACCTCGGAGCAGCTGTTCGCCGACCGGACTCGCTCTCTGGCGTCTGCAGCTCTGCCCTTCACTCAGTCTCTGCTCTCACAGGTGAAACGCTAACAGGAGGACAAGCTCTGTCTGCGCTCAGGCTCATGTCAGACACACACACGGGCCGTTTGGGGTTTATGTGGATACGCTCAGGAATTACTCACAGAGAGAAACAGACCATAAACCACGAAAATGTATCGATGACTTTTAACCACAGTGAGGAAATGAAATGAAAACCAAAGACTCAATGTCCCATAATCCTCTGCTCTATGTTCTCTTCTGTTCTAATGTTTCCTGGACTTGTGTTTTTGTTTCATTCACATGTTTAACTCACAAACCTGCACATTTAACACAAGTTCTTCTCTGAAACTGCAAAAAACACTCAGTTCCACCTTGTGATGTCATCATGTGGTGATACAGGAAGTGCTCCACTGTGTTTTTAACTTCACACACCTTCACTAGAATCACCTGGATCATTTCAGCTTCTGGAGTCGCCGATCTCGACTGAACTAAATGGAAAGGAGAAACTACCACTTCATGACATCACAAGGTGGAACTGGTTTAGACCCGTTTTAGTCCTGGTATAGTCCTGGTTTAGTACTAGTTTAGTCCTTGTTTAGACCTGGTTTAGACCTCGTTTAGTCCTGTTTTAGTCCTTGTTTAGACCTGATTTATTCCTGTTTTAGTCCTTGTTTAGACCTGATTTAGACCTGGTTTAGTCCTGGTTTAGACCTGGTTTAGACCTGGTTTAGAACTGGTTTAATCCTGGTTTAGACCTGGTTTTAGTCCATGCTGTGATACAGGAAGAGCTCCACTGTGTTTTTAAACTCCACACACCTTCACTAGAATCATCTGGATAATTTTTTTTATGGACTGAAGTAAAAGGAGATGTTCACTTGAAAACTACCACTTCATGACATCACAAGGTGGAGCAGAGCATTTGGAGCTTTGCAGATGTAAACAGACGAATAATTAAGATTTACTCAAACAAGTGAATGAAACAAAACACAACTGACCAAAAATGACTAAAGTTCAAGTGTCAGTTTGTGTGATACAGAATCTTGAAATGTCCGGACAGTTGGATTTACCAGTTATTGACAAAAAAGATGAAAATGTCAGACAAAAATAATGACAACATCTTAGTTTTGTTGAACATTGGTTGTCACAGATTTGTCTTCTCTGTTGTGAACACACCTCTGACCCGGTGTCTGTTCCTCTTCAGGTGGGTCGGACGCTGAGCCGGGTGCAGCAGGCCTTCAGCTGGTCCTACGGCGAGGAGATCAAACCCTTTAAACCTCCTCTGAGCGACGCCGAGTTCCACTGGTACCTGAACAGCCAGGGCCAACTCAGCAAACCAGAAGAACTCCGACTGCGCATCTACCACGGAGGAGTGGAGCCGTCACTGCGCAAGGTAAACCCAGGAGCTCAAACAATCTCCAATCGAGTTGAAACGCTTCAGGCTTAACATAGTTTATTTTGGGATATTTTTTTTATAAAAATAAGTATATATATATTGTATTTTTTAAATATAGAGATTATAGAACAGCTGGATATAGAGTTTATTTTGGAGACATTTATGTTTTTCTATAGTCTGATTCATGAGCTGGTTTCATTTGGTGTAAACCGTGTGACCTGCAGCATCAGGATTCGTTCACTCAACAGTAGACGGGGACTTTTTTTATTGAACCAGTCGCTGCTGTTTGGTTGTGACGTTTGTAAAGCTCCAAATCCTGTAGGAAGAACAACAATAACGTCTTTCCCCGAGATCAAATTCACCAAACATTCTCTTTGTTCTGACTTTAAATCCTTGGGGATCTGGGGAATGTCTGTCTTCGTCTACATCCATCTCGACGTTTTGTTTACTGTTGTGCTGAAACACAAAATGGACACAAACAGACGCCACCACGACCACGTCATGACTTCACAGCTCACAGCTGATTGGCCGGTGCCTGGACTCTCACTTCTTGTAAACGTCTAGTGTTTTTTGATTCCTGGCCCTGCCTTACTTCATGTTCAAAGTTTATTTTATTCATTTTATGTTTTATACATCGCAGAAATGCTCTAAGGTTCAGATTTATAGCCTCGATGTATTTTCAATTTGAAAGTTTTCCATAAATTATCAATAACAAAGTTTTTTTGCAGTGTAACTTAAAAATAATTGTTTGAATAATTGTGATTTCAGTTTTGACCAAAATAATCATGATAATGATTTTTTCCAAAATTGAGCAGCACGAGAACCAACCATCGACTGTTTAGAGAAACAGACATATGTAACCCGCCACCCGCCGCGTTCTAAACAGGAAGTGAGCTTTCTTGGCAATTTGGCTCCATCGTCTCTGGCTCCAGTTGACTTCACATTGAAAAATGGTCCCCACTCTCTTTGTAACTGCTGCTGTGAGCCTTAAATGTTCGTATTAACGGTGTGGTGTGGAGGTACCTTCTGAATGTGTGGAGGTATCTTCTGAACGTGTCTCCTTGTGTTGTGGTCAGGTGGTGTGGAGGTACCTTCTGAACGTGTACCCCGACGGTCTGAGCGGTCAGGAGAGGATGGACTACATGAAGAGGAAGACCAGAGAGTACCACGAGCTGAAGAGCCAGTGCAGCTCCAGAGTGAGCCCCGAGGAGCTGGACTTCATCAGGGGGAACGTGCTCAAAGACGTCCTGAGAACGGACCGGGCCCACGCCTACTACGCCGGCTCAGAGGACAGCCCCCACCTCAGCGCCCTCGCCAACCTGCTCACCACCTTCGCCATCACGCACCCGCAGGTAACACACACACACACACACACACACAACACACAGCTGTCCTGACCGAGCCTAGAAACAACATCATGGAGCTTTGGTTTGCTCCTGGAAGGACGAGTGAAAGGCAGAGGACAGTTTCCCTACGGCCGGAGTCCACAACCTTAAATACTCAAAGAGTATCTATATTATATTTAATACTCAAGTATTATACTTGAATCCTCAGTATTCAAGGAGCATCTGCCACAGAAAAGAAAACACCCGGAGCCACAAAACACTTCAGACTGTAAAATGAGGAGAACATCATTTATTTTACCTGTGGCTCTGTGTAAAAGACTGAAGTGTGTCACATTTATGAAATCAATGAAACGCCTCAGAGAACACGGAATTTTATTTCTGCACACGACAAAAACATTTTGATCTCCAAATTCTTTGTAGGAAATAAAAATCCAAACTTAAATTCCCCACCTGCAGTGAAACAAAAAATGTCGTCAGCTTCTGTGTCCCGTCATCATTTAATCACAAATACTGGAGCATGAATCTGTCCACGGAGCATTAAATGTTCTGTTTTCTTCAGAAACTTTTCTTTTCTTGGATTTATCCTTTATTTACCTACAGGGGTGGAAAAGCTCAATAAATGATGCTGCTGCTGGTGCAGGTGTCGTAAGTCCAGGCTGCAGATCTGTGTCAGTGTCGCACATCAGCGGCTGTGATGCAGATTTTGAGAGACAAAAATATTTTAAATAATAAATACTTTTATTTTAACATTACAAGATTACCATTATCTACAAATTTAGAATTACATTTATGAAAACAAACAAACTAAAATAAAAATACATTGTAATTAAATACTAAATAATTTCACAGGAGCCACAACAGGATGAAAGAGCCACATGTGGCTCTGGAGCCGTGGGTTACTGACCTCTGCCCTACAGGGACAAAATAAAATAAACTCACTCGTCCAGGACACTTAAAGCCGCCGGGACAAAGGTGTTTTTTAATCTCTAACCTCACACGTGTTTGTTTCAGATTTCCTACTGCCAGGGCATGAGCGACATCGCCTCGCCCATCCTCGCCGTCATGGACAACGAAGCTCACGCCTTCATCTGCTTCTGTGGCATCATGAAGCGTCTGGAGGGAAACTTCCGCCCCGACGGGCAGCTCATGTCCGTCAAGTTCCAGCACCTGAAGCTCCTGCTCCAGTACTCAGACCCTGAATTCTACTCGTACCTGGTCTCCCGCGGGGCTGACGATCTCTTCTTCTGCTACCGCTGGCTGCTGTTGGAGCTCAAGAGGGAGTTTGCCTTCGACGACGCCCTGAGGATGCTGGAGATCACCTGGAGCTCGCTGCCCCCCGACCCTCCAGAGACCGAGGTGGAGCTGTACGGGCCTCCCCTGGAGACGGACACGGCGCTGAACCTCACCAAGAGCGGAGTGATCCTGGAGGACGAGTGCGGCCACGACAACCAGAAGGAGAGACAGCGCAGGAGACACATGCTCAGACCCTCACGAGAAGAAACGACGCCCCCTTTGGTCACGGAGGAGCCGGAGCGGACGGGCGAGAACAGCGGCGCGATAACCGCTCCGTCGGGACGCAAGAGCAGCTTTGGCGAGTTTAAGTACTACTCGGCGCGTAGCGAGGAATGCTTCGACATGGACGGCGTGGAGCTGCCTCAGGAGAACCACGAACACCAGTCCAGCGCGTGCAGCCGCCAGTCCACGGTGGAGAGCGAAGACGACCCCGGAGAGAAAACGCCGCTCATCAAAACCACGGACGTCCCAGATGATTCGGCCGAGGTCAGAGACTCTAACAAAGACGACACGCTCAGAACTGTGGGGAGCGGCGGCGGCGGCGGCGGCGGCGGGACCAGCGCGGGCATCAGATCGACCTCCCCGTCACGCCCGCGCTCCCTCCTCTCCTCGCCGATTCTCTCGTTCGGTAAAGGACACTTCGGTTGCCCGTCCAAACCGACCACGTTGTCATCGCCCGGGAGCAAACCACAAACTGCCCCAGCCCCGAAAGTCGAGAGCCTGTGCGTGAAACCGTGCTCGCTTCCTCCGCCGCAGGAATTCGGGAAAGGAAACCCGTTCATGTTGTTCCTGTGTCTGTCCATTCTTCTGGAGCACAGGGACCACATCATCAAAAACAGCCTGGACTACAACGAGCTCGCCATGCACTTCGACCGCCTGGTGCGCCGACACAACCTGGGCCGCGTGCTGCAGCGGGCCAAAGCGCTGTTCGCCGACTACCTGCAGAGCGAGGTGTGGGACTCGGAGGAGGGGGACGAGGTCAGCTCCGACTCGCCCACCTCCGCCAACGGCGCCCCCCCGTGCCCGCCCGCCGCCGTGCCCGCCCAGCCCATCTACAGCCCGCTCACGTCGCCCCGAGCGTCATCGCCCAACTCCACCTATAACCTGTCCACCACCGTCCCCTCGCCGTCCATCCTCTCTCCCGCCGCGCCCTCGCCCACCGCCCCCTCGCCCACCGCCCCCTCGCCCAACGCCCCCTCGCCCACTGCCCCTCAGGTCACCCCCTCGCCCACTGCCCCTCAGGTCACCCTCTCGCCCACTTTCTGAGAAGTTTGACTCTGTTGAACTGGACTCGCCCCCATGAGACGAGACACACGAAATTGAATCGATTATTTGTTTTTCTAAAAGTTGAATTGTGTAACTTTTCTGGTGGAGGCTCCGTCAAACACTTTTCTCCATGGACGTGTTGTTGCTTTGTCTGAAATGTTCCACAGTACGGCATTAAACCTGTTTATCTTCGTAGAGACCAAACCAGACACAGTTCCAGGTCAGATCTGTGGAGAGGCGACACCGCTCACAGTCACAACGTCTGTTTTTCTAGGTGTTTTCGAGCTGTAAAACCACCTGTAATTGAATAAATGTAAAGTCGAGCTGTTTAAAGTCACACTGTGGGACATTCCAGACAGAGCAGTGACGTCTCCATAGAAACAATGCAGGTTTAAATAAAATTATAGCCCTTGTGATCTTTAGTCTTTTGGAAAATGTCCTTCTAGAACCGAGAGGAACATTTCACTTTAGAAAGAAACAAAACAAAACAAGGACTAAAGTAAAGTTTTAGTAAAAGTCTAAATACTAAATGTTAAGAAATCTGAGACTAAAGGGTCCAGATCAGAACTGGACCAGGCCTAAACCAGAACAGAACCAGCAGACGCAGTTCCAGGTCAGATCTGTGGAGAGGCGACTCTGCTTACAGCCAGAATGTCTGTTTTTCTAGGTGTTTTTGAGTTATAAAACCACCTGTAAATTAATAAATGTAAAGTCGAGCTGTTTAAAGTCACACTGTGGGACATTTCGGACAGAGCAGTGACATCTCTATAGAAAAAAGCAGGTGTCGGACCCCCAACCAGAAAGTTACACAGTGCAGCTTTAAAGATTTTATTGTCAAATGTTTTGAAGTGAAGACATTTCTCCGCTCATCAGAACTTAAGATTCCAAAGCGTTTTTACTTGAAGCTTTCACAGAATCAAAGCTGTACTATGTAACTTTTAGGTTTTCGGGGTCTGTTGTCTCTATGGATACGTCATTGCTCCGCCTGGAATAATCCACAGTGTGACATTAAACAGCTCGACTTTACATTTATTCAATTACAGGTGGATTTATGTCTCAAAAATCCCTCGAAAAACAGACACTGTGACTGTGACGGAGTCGCCTCTCCACAGATCTGACCTGGACTCAGTCTGGTGTGGTCTCCATGGAGATAGAAAGGTTTAATGCCATACTGTGGAACATTCCAGTCAAAGCAGCATCATCTCCATGGAGAAAAGCGTTTGACGGAACCTCCACCAGAAAAGTTACACAGTGCAGCTTTAAACGACCCTTGGCTCTGGAGTCGTCGTGGCGACCGAGGGTCACATCACACAGACGATTTTTCGAGAGGTTTGTTTTAGTTTTTCACTGATGAAAAATGTTTTACGATTTTGTCGTTTATTTGAAGTTTTGCCTTTTGTTTATTTTCACGAACAAAATCAGAATTAAGACGAGAAAGAAAAACAAGAAAACAGAAAATCCTCGAGAGCCTTTGATACTGACGCTCTGCAGCGACGTCACATCAGGGGGGTTCTACATGTATGTGTATCGGCGGAATGTTCAGCAGTTACCATGGAGACACAATGCACACACTAGTAAACGTGGCCAATGTAATAGTCCAATAAGATTCATTTGGTCTTCTGATATTCTATGTTATCAGGTTCTTTTTTTCAGACCTGGAGTGTTATTTCATACCTGACAGTTTGGACTGTTCACTGCAGGTGGCGCTGTCGTCCTGCCTCCACCGGTAGGAAGACGATGCCAAAACCTGTTTAAATTAGCCGACCAGACACGTCACAGCAACATCACGTGACTCTGAGGAAGACCAAACTGTCAGGGATGAAATAACACTCCAGGTCTGAAAAAAAGAACCTAATAACATCGTGGCCAATGTAAGTTTTAAGATTGTCTGAAAGCAAAAATACAAAGTGGATTCAAAGAGCACATTTCATTTCCCTGTGGTCAGTGAGAGAGTTCAGTCGTGTTCAGGAGATTTTCAACAAAAAAGTGAAACTCACTCAAAAACTGTGTGGCTGTAATCTTAAGGCCTGTTCATATTCAGAAGAACAGAAAAACAAAGTTTGTTGGGGCTCTGACATTTCATACTTCAAAAGTTGTCCTGGTTCCATATTTGGGAATTATGGGAATCTTTCTGAAATTTTCTGTCAAAGATCAATGTAATTAATTGGATAAACTGTCTGTCGCTCCCATGTTGAAATACGACGACGTCATCACATTCTAGAGTCTGAAAACCTCCAGCAGGACTCGTGTTGTTGTTGATGTTTCTCTGTGTTTGATGAAGAGTCCAGTCGCTGCAGGAGGTTTATATCGAGGGGATTTCTTTTCGTCATCCAGCCTTTTTTTTTTTTTTTGGTGACTCGCCTTTTGTCTTTCGCAAACTTGTCACAGAGTTTACTCCAGACTTTTCTACACTGATTTTCATCCGAACCTAAAATGTCGTCAATTTCCCTCCTTGAGTTTCTTCCATTTGTCTCGTCGTGTCGTACAGATGTTTGTATTTTCTCACCGTTTCCTCCAGCTGTCACTCAAAACCATCTTTTAAAAAAAAATCTTGCTCTGCACCGGCGAGGAGCAGATAAACCACGCCCACATAAACAACCAATCAGAGTGAAGATGTGGGACAGAGCTGCAGAACTTCTGAACAAAGCACTGGTCAGATGAGGCGTCGAGAACAAACCACAAGAACAAGATCTGCCCAAGAGGAGCTGCACCAACAAAACGTCAAAGTTCTTATGAATTATGAACAGGCCTTTATTTGAGAGGTTCTTGTTTAACAGCACAATGTCCACCTGCCGTCCGTTAATGCCGCGTAACGCACAAGTAGTTCCGGTAACAGCCACATCACTGTTCTGTATCACTGCTCTGAGGCTGTCACCACGACAACACCAACATCGAACTAACATCATTTAACACACTGAAATACTCGATGTTTTGGACGTTTACAGACACAGAAGAGGCTTTTCACCGTCACAGGAGACACATTTCAGTTTGTCGCCGTGGTAACAGAGCATTAAACAACCTGGAGCTGTGCGTTTTGCAGTTTTAACGCTCGTCACGGAGGAACTCGAGGACTCTGTGATAAAACTGCAGAACGCACGGCTCCTCGTGATTAAATCCTCTCAGATCCTCTCACCTGTCGGAGTTCAGATCAGTCGGCTCTTTCTGGTCAGATTCTGTTCAAATAAACGTCAAATTAAAGTCTAACAGAGCATCAGACACAGCGGTGCTTTCTGTTAGCGTCACATCCCCGGGGAACGTCGGCGACATCGGCTGCAGAGTGTCAGTATCTCCAAATCCTGGGTTGCCGTAGTAACAAATACAAACCTGGTCAGACTGCGGGTTATTTCTCTCACGGAACGACTTGAGGTTTAAACTGGAGACGGAGCGAGTTTGAGATTTCAGGATTTCAGGATCAGACTCGACTCGGAAAACTCCACAGTCACTCTTTAAATAAACCGATAATAAACAAAAAACACCGAAAATAATCCAACATTTTTCTCACATTTGTAAAAGCCAAAACATCTGAACAGAATTCAATCAACAAATCATAAAAACATAATAAACATTTAAATGTAAAATTATTATTCCTTTGTAAATCTATGAAAGAATTTTAGAATTTAATATAATAATTCTATAAAGTTAATTTAATATAATTCCAGAGGACGACGGGTTTGCAGACGTTTGTTTTTCATTTCTCTGTATTTACTGGACTTTTCCACACGAAACACAAACTGGCACAAAGTTCAACATCAGCACAAATAAAACAGGAAACTTGAATTCTCATTTTATTTAGTTTATTTATTTTATTTATTTTAAAGCCAGTATGATGCAAATTTTGAACTCTGCTCTGCTGTCGTTTCCTGGACTCGTGTTTTGTTTCATTCACATGTTTAACTCACAAACCTGCACATTTAACACAAGAAAACGCTTTGTTCCACCTTGTGATGTCATCGTGTGGTGATACAGGAAGTGCTCCACTGTGTTTTTAAACTCCACACACCTTCACTAGAATCACCTGGATCATTTCAGTCGTGGAGTCGCAGAATCTCGACTGAACTAAAAGGGAAAAGGAAACTACCACTTCATGACATCACAAGGTGGAACTGGTTTAGACCTGGTTTAGACCTGGTTTAGACCTGATATTGTCCTGATTTAGACCTGGTCTAACTACGACTTTGTGACATCACAAGGTGGAACAGAGAGTTTGGAGTTTTGCAGATGAAACAGACGAATAATAAAGTTTTAGTCAAACATGTGAATGAAACAAACACAAGTCCAGATCTGTTTTTGAGGAGGAAATATTAAAACATTAGAACCTGGTTTAAAGTTCAGTCAGGTTTAAGAAGCTGTAAAGAAAAAGAAAGAAACTGCACATTTTTTTTATCCTGCAGATTCACAGACGCTTCTTTTTCCTCCGTCCCAAAAATCACACACTTCAGTCTGATGATGTCACAAAGTGAACCTGAGCTGCTCCTCTGTCCCGGCACAAACCGATGATGTAACAAAGTCCAAAGCCAGAAAGAAAAAGTAAATGTGTTAAAATGGTTCTTTTCTTTTCACTTTTCACTCTTCACCTTCTGCCTTCGACCGGCTTCTTAAGTGCAATTATGTTTGTGTCTGTTCAGAATCTGTTTTTCATGACAATTCATATTTGAGCCTCTTTAAACTGGAAAAAGGTCTGGATTTCATTCTTCTATAATCTGTCCATGACATGCTGTTTGCAGATAACCTACGTAATAAATAAAGACAACAACCTTTTCAGTAGATCTCGTTTGTTTGTTGTGTTATTTATAATAATATTTTATTGTGGTAATGTTGTATTTATATTTTTCCTGGTGTGTGAATTACAGATATTATCATGTATTTGATCAAAACCAGAGAATTACAAAAAAACAACAACAAACTCAGAGCTGATTTTTACAGCGACCCGTGAACGCGCCTGCAGCTCGTTCCACCGGATGTTCATGGTGTTTATTTCCGGGTCAGTGTTTCGTTCCCAAACACAAGCGCCATGTTGACCCGACTGTCCCGGTTCGGGCCCGGTTTTTCCCGGTGTCTCCGTCAAACGCAGGTCCGATGCGTGTCTCAGTCCACGCGGAGCGGCGCGAGCTCCGCCGCGGTCACCGAGGCGCACGCGCCCCCGGCCAGCGCCGCGCACGGAGAGGTCAGCCCCTACGTGAAGGTGAGACCGGGACACGGACACACGGGGACACGGACACACGGGGACACGGACACACGGGGACACGGACACGGGGACACGGGGACAGAGACATGGACACAGACACAGGGACGCAGACTCACGGACCTGAGGGACACAGACAGGGAGACACGGACACACGGGGACACAGACTCAGGAACGCAGACCCAAGGACCCGGGGACAGAGACCCGGGGACAGAGACACGGGGACAGGGACCCGGGGACAGGGACGGGGACAGGGACACGGGGACAGAGACACGGGGACAGAGACACGGGGACAGAGACACGGGGACAGAGACACGGGGACAGGGACAGTGGACTCGTGCTTTAATCTTCATAATGACTCTGTGGATCTGGAGCTCGCGCTGTTCAGACTCGTGCTGTTAAACCTGTGACGTCACAAGTCCAAACGTGTCCAGCTCCAGAACCTAAACTCACCCACAAACCTCCTCCAGGTCCTGAGAGTCTCCCAGACGAGCTGAGGCCTCAGGTCCCTTCAGTTCTGTAGAGTCTCCAGGGCCTGGACCCGGCAGTTCTGGTCCCGGTGGTTCAGATCCTGGTGGTTCTGGTCCTGGTGGTTCTGGTCCTGGACATTTTGTGTGGTGGAGCAGCAGCTCTACTCCGAGCTCCTCTGTCCTGTGGCTTGTGTTGTGTGTGAAAGAGCTCAGGCTTTTTTCATGATGTGATGGGCTCCTTCACCAAAACTGTCCCAGTGTCTCCCCGTCCGTCCTCCTGCCCGTCCGTCCGTCCTCCTGCCCGTCCGTCCGTCCGTCCTCCTGCCCGTCCGTCCTCCTGTCCGTCCGTCCTCCTGCCCGTCCGTCCGTCCTCCTGTCCGTCCGTCTGTCCTCCTCCTGCCCGTCCGTCCGTCCCCCTGTCCGTCCGTCCTCCTGTCCGTCTCTCGCTGTGTCCCTCAGTGTAAAGTCGTTCTCCAGGTTCAGTTTGTCTCTTTGTTCTGAGGAGAATCTCAAACATAAACTCGACTCGGGCTGCAGATTTGTGGGAAACAGTCAGGTCCGTTATTGTGGTTCGATTTTTATTATTTGTTTCCGAGCAGGATTGAGGTCACAGTGTCTCACATCAGGAACTTTCACATCTGAGAGACGCTCAAATATAAAACTCTTAGAACGTCTGAGCTCCAAACTCAAATGTCAAACAACAATAAAACATCTGATCACCTGAAACGATTCGAGCCTTTGCCGCATGAGAACTGTTCCAGTGTAAATCCCACCTGTCCATGTTTTATGAGCAGCTCTGGACTTTGTGCTCTTGATGCTTTTTGTTTTCTTCTTCTGTCGACTCTGCAGCAATTTGTACATCTGTTTTTACAAGTGCTTTATAAATAAACGTGTTATTTGTAGTTTGTAGTAGTGTATCATAGTTTAGCCGACACACCACTCCACTGTTTGTATGTTTACTTAATTAATTTGCAATGTTCATCAAATTAGCTGTTCTGTTACTGGAGAATAAGATCATCGAAACATTAAATCTCTGTGTTTGTGTTTTTTTGTTGTGTAGAATCCAGACTTTCACGGCTTCTCGTCTGATCCGGCCGTGGACGAGTGGAACATGAGGATCGGTTTCTTCTTTGGCATCTCCGTCGCTCTGGTGATCGGAGGAACCTTCATCCACTATTTACCAGACCACGGGTAACTGTCTCTGTAAAACTATCACAACATCTGGAGTTTGAATCCAACATGGCGGCGTATTGTTTTCAGTGGCTTTTGCTCAGAAGATTTTTACTTGTACATTATTTCCTGAGTATTGTCCTCGCGCCGCAAAACCTGTGAAATCATAAACGTGCAGTTCTGACCAATCAGCGAGCTCAGAGCGGAGCTACGCTGAGTCTTACAAAAATCACTTTAGGATCTTTGAGGATTAAAAAATTCTAAAACATTCATATTGTCCCTCCCTGAACCGTCGCCTTGTCGTGGTGAAGGTGTTTGAGCCTGAATGATCCTGGGAGTTTTGTGGGTGGGTGGGAGGTAGGGACGGGCATTCGATGAAATTTTCTTAATCGATCGTCGAAAGAATTAACGATCAATTATCGATTAATCATTAACATTTTTATATTAAAATGATCATCATTATTATTACTATCTGCACTAATCTGCATAAATAAATTCAACTTTACGACATATAAACATAACGACTCTAGATCCACATCAGCTGTTTGACATTATAATGTGTTTAATTCAGTTTTGTTCAAATCTCACAGAAACAAAACTTAAAACCACATCACTAATTTACATAAACTAAGTGAAGATAAAACTCCAGCTCTTGTGTCGCTGATGTGGTTCAACTTGTGTTGGATTAAAAGACATGACTCAGGTGAATACAGGTCAGTGTGACCAGATTTGTGTTTGTCAAAACCAGGACAGCGTACGGGGGGAGGGGGGCGGGGCCTCGTCATCCACATTGAGCGACTCTCACCTGGAAAAACTTTTTCCCACTGGACACAGAAACATATGTGCTGCTTTATCCACTGTGCACATGGACTCACACTTGTCCCAACGCAACGGAAAGTGTGGAATTTCTTCTACAAATCCTGGTTAAATCCACATTTGTGCTTCGGTTCGTTACAGACTGACCCACTGTTTGTGTCTCGCTCCTTCTGATGCAGAGACACATGTACACACCTGTTTGGTCACGACACACAAACATACATTCAGTTTGTCCATTAAAATGAACGTAATCGATGAAATTCTTAATAATCAATTATCGATTAATCGACTAATCATGCCCATCCCTAGTGGGAGGGGTCGTGTCCTTGCGCCTTCAGGTCGGGGACAGGTCTCACTGTGGTGTCGCCTACGGGCCAAACAGCAGTGCAGAGTACTCGAGTACTTGACCTTCTTGGAGATGAAGAATTTATCCAGAACTATCAAGAGAAGGTTCGTTGAGCCAATCTGAAGCCAGCGAGTTCACGGACCAACGGCAAAAAGAATAAACCTACAGTGTAGAGGAAAAAAAACACTAGATTTTATGAGAGGTTTCAAGGAAAAATAAGGACAAGTCACTTTTCTGGTAGAGGGTCTGTCACCTTCTTGTTTTTGCTTTTCGAACTGTATTCCATTAAACCTTTCTGTGCATGGAAAAAAAAAATAAAAATCAAAGGAAGAAAGAGAAAAGCTTAGTGACACTGAGCAAAACAAACGTTCTGATCATGAATAAAACAGAAGGAACTTGTTCACTCCGACTCATTCTACGCTTAAAATTAAAAATGTATTTGACGATGTGGATATTTTCACAGACACAGAGAGATTTGTGACGTTTAAATGCTCCACGTCTCCAGGATCAGAACATGAGTTGAGTTTGTTGTGTGACTGATGCGTCTCGTTGTTTCCTTTAAGTTTTGTTCTTTCTTCTCTTGATAGTTGTGGATAAATTGTTCATGAAGAATGTTTATCCTTTGTGGAGTTTGCGCGCTCACTTCCTGTTTCTGTCTGGAACACGGCAGGTTCGCTCTGTTCTTTTATATAAAACAGTCCATGATTCGATGGTGTCGTGTGTTTTGTGTGCAGGATGCGTCAGTGGGCTCGGCGGGAGGCGGAGCGTTTGATTCAGGAGCGAGAGCGAGACGGACTTCCTCTGATCGGAGAAAACTACTACGACCCCAACAAGATCGTCCTGCCCTCCAAAGAAGAATAATCACCCCTGCACTGTATTTCATTTGTGTTTTTGTCCGTTTAAATAAAAGAGTAAATATTTCACTTCAGGATCTGCAGTCGTACATTTGTTTTATTATCAAATTAAACATAAAAATAAAAACTGCACCAAACATAAATACATAAAAAATCTGTTTCTAATTCAAGCTCTAGTTGGACGCTGATGGTAAACTGTTTAATTCAGGTGTTTAATATTATTTTTGCCTTTTTTATTTATTAATATTTTCAGCTAAGGAAAATCTAACAGAGCTTAAAGCCGTAGTGTGTAACTTTTCTAGAGACGGTCTGTAACCTGTTTTGTTTCCATGGAGATTTTAATATGAAACTAATCTGTCTCACATTTATTCAACTACAGGTTTTATTTATCGCTTAAAAATATCTTATAAAACATCCGGTCTTCTCCAGTGGGGTTGCCTCTCCACAGATCTGCCCCGTAATTTGATTTATGGCCACACTGCGGAACATTCTAGGCTCATCTCCATGGAGACGAGCAGGTGACGGTCCCTCCAGCAGACAAGTTCAACATCAGAAGATTGTTGTAAATATCTGGTCAAACGGCAGAAACTCACACCTGAAGCAGTTTTAGATTAAATTATTATATTTTTATTAAAAATTATAAATAAAACATAAACAAGAGAACATACACATCTAAAATTATTTAAATTAAACCAAAAAAACAAAAGCAAACAAGCGGGTAAAATGTAAAAATACTGGATTTTTTGTTTGTTTTGCTTTTGTTTTGTTTTTTCCCACATAAAATGAATATCAACGTAGGAGTACATGAAAAGAAAAATAAATAGTAATGATAATAAAATATAAACAAATGAAAAAATAAATTAATTAATGAAAAAATTATAATACATAAATAAATAATAAAATATGTATTTAATAAAAAATGTATTTAAGCTGCTGTATTTAAAATGAATGTCAGCATAAGGGTACATAAAAAGAAAAATAAATAGTAATGATGAAATATGAATAAATGAAAAAAAAATAATAATAAAGGGAAAAAAATTAAAATTATAAAAATCAATAAAAAATAAAATAAAAAAATGTATTTGAGATGCTGGAATTAACATAAATATCAGCTTAAGGGTACATAAAAAGAACAAATAAAATAGTAATGATAATGAAATATAAATAAAAATAAATAAATAAATGAAAAATTATAAATAAATAAATAAATGTGTTTAAGATGCTGGATTTAAAATTAA